TGCCAGAATCGATGCAAGAACGAAATTCCTTCCATAGTTACTCCACGAACCTAAGAGAGACATATCCGTTTTCTCTCACTAAGAAGGAAGAATTCGTTTTCTCTCACTTCTTAAGCGGTGACTATGCTAATAATTCGTTTGTGTTTATGAAGTTTGTTTTAACGTATTTGGCCATTAAAAGTTTATGTCTGTCTGTCTGTATGTCTGTTTGATTGTCTATCTGTCTGTCTATGCCTGTCTATCTATCTGTCATATACATATCAGTTTACTGTATATATATCTTGCCAATATATTTATAAGTACTGTATAATAATTGTATTCAACAGTGATATATACCTGTAATATGTTAATTAGTCATAGATATACCTGAAAGTACCTGTAATTAGCACGTTTATACACCTGAGACACTAATTGATCACTCATATATACCTGATAAACTAATTAAGCCCTCACACATAACTGAAAATACCTGTAATTAGCACGTATATACATCTGACACTAATTAATTACTCATATATATCTGACACACTTATGAAGACCGCACATATACGTGAAAATACCTGTAATTAGCACGTATATACACCTGAGACTAATTAATCACTCACACACCTGGAAAACTAATTAAAACCCCACACACACACACACCTGAAAATACCTGTAATTAGCATGTATATACACCTGAGACACTAATTAAGACCCCCACACCTGAAAAACACCTGTAACTAACCCACCAAATCACCTATCACTAACGACCCTCTCTCTCTCAACAGATCTACGACTACATGAGCTGTTTACCTGGTCATAAAGTCCCTCGCTTAGCTACGCCAGGCGAAAAGGCGCGAGAAAGACAGCTAATGCTCCAGCTACCGAAGCAAGATCTGGCGTTAGCTTACACCAGACATGTCGAAACACAGTATCACACATCGTTCAAGGATTTCGTAGCTGCCAGGAACGATATAGCTTTGGATATCGGGATTATTAAGCCTCACATTCCATATAATATTGTAAGTGGTGGTGGTAATTGTGGTAGTGGTGGTAGTAGTGGTTGTGGTGGTAGTAGTGGTTGTGGTAGGGGATAGTGTTGAGTATTATTATTATTTTAGATCTCATTTCATTTAATATTGTAGTAGTAGTAGTAGTAGTAGTAGTATGGATGGTCGCTATTAGGGGGGGTAACCTACACACCCACGCGCGCACGTATGCCCCTACTACCTGGACACACCAGTCCAGCCTGTCACCTCTCCGCCCTTCCCTCATAAGAACCAGTATAATCTTGTGCCTGGGACTAAATCAGATGTCCGGAGGCGGACGTTACCGTCGCCCAAGGTGCTGGTCACTATGCCTGGTAACATTCCTTGCTGCGTCTGTGCTAGCCCGAACCAAAACTGCACAAATTGTGTTTGTGCAAGAAACAACCGACCATGTGTGAATTGCAGGAAGCTGGACCAGTGTCGGAACCCACGTCGCAGGGAGCCGACACAGGCGGCCACAGTGGATATCGCCGGGACCCAACTACCCGATGATATCCGAAATGATAGCAGTGAGTCTACTCAACCCGATAATGTAGTACTAATAAATGCTGCTCCCTCAGTAGCAGGTGTCCACGAGGAGAATGAGAGACAGCCGCCTCAGTGGAATGGCATGTCGATGGAAAATGCAGGCGTATGGGTCAAAGAAACCTACTCAGAAATTGTCAAGTGGTCGCCCGCTAACTTATTTGAACCACCCAAGTGTGCGGCCACCAAAGAAATGATTCGGGAGATGACTCACTTCATGACTGATTACACTCAGGACCGCTTCCTCGCCCCCCTAGCTCTTCAAATACTGGCAATAATACCACATCTATTTTGTCAGAGGACACACACAAAGGCTAAGCACAAAGAAAATGTGGCAGCAATGAAGAGAAGGTTGACAATGTGGCAGACTGGGGCCCTAGATGATCTCCTATGTGAAGCAAGAACACTGCAGGAGAGACTAAAATCTACGGGTGACGGAAAGCAAAACACCGATGACGTGGCAAGACAATTTGGAAACAAAATGCGTGTGGGAAAAGTGTCTCTCGCGGTAAGATCTCTCACACATGAATCCTCCGGTGGAGTGATGCCAATAAACAGAGCGACATTAAAACTATTGAAAGAGAAACATCCCCCTGCAAGCGAAGATGAAGGCATCAGGCTCCAGGGTGCCTATATCCCACCAAACGCTGTCCTGTTCGAGAAAATAACAGGAGAGATGGTGTGGAAAAAGGCACTGAAGACTCGAGGAGGAGCCGGCCCTTCAGGTCTGGATGCAAACGGTTGGAGAGTCATCCTCAGCACAAACAAGTTTGGCCCTGTAGCAAGCGATCTCTGCACTGCCATTGCCACCCTTGCAAGAAAGCTTGCATCCTCTTGCTGCCATCACCTCCAGGCTCTGACGGCCTGCCGCCTTATTCCTCTGGAAAAGAAACCAGGATGTAGACCTATAGGGGTGGGGGAAGTGCTGAGGCGGATCATCGGAAAGTGTATAATGGAGGTGGTAAAGGATGATGTCAGGGCAGCAGCAGGGAACCTACAAGTGTTGTACACCATGAGATTGATATTTGAGCAGCATTGATTGTGAGGCGTTCTCTGGTGGATGCTTCAAACGCATTCAACATACTTAACCGCAAGGCGGCACTGCACAACATCAAGATCCAAGTGTCCTAGCTTTTACGTGTATGTTGAAAAATTCGTATAGGAATCCTTCAGACCTCGTAATAATCAAACAACAAGGCTCTCCGAGGTGATACCATCTCCACAGTCGACGAGGGAACAACACAGGGGGACCCCGTTGCAATGGCAATGTATGCAATAGGCCTATGGTGCTCCAACAGAAATAAAGTATGAAACAACTGGGGTCAAACAAGTGGCATATGCTGATGACCTGCAGGAGCAGGAAGAAGTGGAGGACATCAAAAATTGGTGGGACCTGGTAACTTGTGAGGTCACAAATAAGGGTACCACCCAAACGCCAGCAAATCCTTCCTCATCGTGAAGCCAGATCATTGCCGATCGGGCTGTGGAGAATTTTTCGGCGGCGAAAGTGAGGTCAAAAATAACTAAGGGAATGACCAAAGACATCTAGGCGCATTAATTGGCACTACGGACTTCAAAGTTGGTCTGCGTGGGGAAGGTGAACGAGTGGGTTAGCAGAATCCATGCTCTATCGGAAGTTGCTAACACAGAAACCACATGCGGCCTTTGCAGCATTGTTCACATGGAGTCAACATCGTTGGAACTACCTGATGCATTACCATCCCTGAATCCGACCCTCCTCCACCCTTTTGGAAGAAGCAATCAGTGTCAAGTTCATTCCCAAACTGGTAGAAACACCACGACTTAACCCCAGTAGAAGAACACTTCCATGCACTTCCCACCAAGACTGGGAGGATGGGACTAACAATCCAAGAGGAATTGCTGACTCTGAACATCTAAAAATTCATAAGGCTCACGACGCCCTCACTGACCATAATAGCCCAGAATGCAACGAGTGGACACCAGCAAGTTAATAAGATCCGTAGATCCATTGCAACAGATCAGCAGCACTGCCAAAATGACATGTTGCATAACTATTACCCGCAGGTTCGAAATTTGACAAAAAAGTAGCTATAAGCGCAGGAGGTGGGCGCCTCGAACTGGTTAACTACGTTACCGATAGGGCAAATGGTTTCAGCCTTAACAAACAGAATTTACAAGGTGCCATTGCTCTAAAGATACGGTTGGCCAGTAGATGGTTTGCCACTCCCCAATGCGATGATAATATTCCTATGATGGCGATCACGCCATGGTTTACAGAAGAGGGGGCTTCATATGCATGAGGCATGGCGGTAAGGGATCTCTGATATGTTGAAGGAAACCTGCGGGTCATGGTAGGAACCGACCTCCCTTCACTGGATGGCGAGATCACCAACACAGGACTTTAAACACATCTAACGAAGCCCGTGTGGGCGTCAGTGCTCAGCGGCGAGAGTTCTGGGCCAGCGGGGACAGCGAGCCTTCTTCGACATCAGGATTTTTGATCCCCATGGCCGTTTGTCACGTAACCCTGGCTCTCGATGCTGCATAGGAGGAACGAGAACGACAAAGAGAAGGGCATATGGGGAAAATTCAATGTCGATCAGGCAGCTTCACTCGCTAGTGTTCACAACCTCTGGTGGATGGGCCCAAGCGCAAGATGTTTCTCGCCAGACTTCGCCAGACTGATCTCGAACAAGCAGCAGCCCAGAAGTTATGTCACAACCTGGATGGGGTGTCGACTGTCCTTCTCTCTCCTTCGATTAAACTGCTCTCAGGGGAACGAGCTTCTGCCCTACTCCGTCAACTGCTGCGAATATCGACTATGAGGCTGATCACGAATCGCATCGATCTATGACTCAACTAATTGTACAGATAGAGATGATTTGCTTATGTATTTAGGATATTGTATTAAGAGTAAATAAATGGTGAAGGTGTGGCTATTGGGGAGGCTGGAGCCACGTTTTAAAAAAAAAAAAAAGTAGTAGTAGTAGTAGTAGTAGTAGTAGTAGTAGTAGTAGTAGTAGTAGTAGTAGTAGTTTTTAAGTAGTAGTAGTCATAGTAGCAAAATAATCATCTACATATCAACCTCTATAAGTAACCTAACCTAATCTAACGTAACCTAACCTAAACCTAACCTAACCTAACGTAAACCTAACGTAACCCTAACTTAAACCTAACCTCTACATTCCTCTGGCCACTACAGGAGTGTCGAGGGTGTGAGGGCTACCATTACCAAAGGCTCGGTGGCAGTAGTGGCACCCAAACTAGGGAGAAGTCTCGTGGCACCCAAGCTGTTTCACCTGTGCCACCTGTAATGAGCTGTTAGTGGATCTGGTCTACTGCGTGTGGGGAGGAGACGGTTCACTGCGGCCGACATTACTAGAAGTTAAAAGCAAGATGTGCTGCTTGTGATGAGGTAAGTGATGTGCTGGGATGTGTAGTAGTGTAGTGAAGATGTTTTAGTGTATTTTAAGGTGTGTAGGGGTGGTTCAGAGTGTGTTAGAGGTTATGCACTCTTGTATAGGGTGTGTTATGAGGTGTAGTGATGTGCTGGGATGTGTAGTAGTGTAGTGAAGATGTTTTAGTGTATTTTAAGGTGTGTAGGGCGGTTCAGAGTGTGTTAGAGGTTACACTCTTGTATAGGATGTGTTATGAGGGTGTAGGGATGTGCTGGGATGTGTAGTAGTGTAGTGAAGATGTTTTAGTGTATTTTAAGGTGTGTAGGGGCGGTTCAGAGTGTTAGAGGTTACACACTCTTGTATAGGGAGTGTGTTATGAGGTGTAGTGATGTGCTGGGATGTGTGTGTGTAGTGAAGATGTTTTAGTGTATTTTAAGGTGTGTAGGGGCGGTTCAGAGTGTGTTAGGGCTACACTCTTGTATAAGTGTGTTATGGTGTAGTGATGTGCTGGGATGTGTAGTAGTGTAGTGAAGATGTTTGAGTGTATTTTAAGGTGTGTAAGGGCGGTTCAGAGTGTGTTAGAGGCTACACACTCTTGTATAGGTGTGTTATGAAGTGTAGTGATGTGTATGAGAAGTATGATACGATTAACGAACGTAAAACAGTATTAATGAACGTAAATTATTGAAACTGATCGTAAAATATGAAGTGATCGTAATAATTCGTCATTGAACGTAAAATTGATCAAAAAATACGATTAATTAGTGTAAAAAATATACTAATTCACTTCATTAACGAACGAACGAACTCCATTAACGAACGAACTGACTCACTGTATTAACGAACAGGCTCATTCCATTAACGAGTGAGATAAAACACTAAAAACTGAACAAATTAACGAACACCACCACTAACGAACGAAATATAACCGAACAAATTAACGAACACCACCACTAACGAACGAAATATAACCGAACAAATTAACGAACACCACCACTAACGAACGAAATATAACCGAACAAATTAACGAACACCACTACTAACGAACGAAATATAACCGAACAAATTAACGAACACCGCCACTAACGAACGAAATATAACCGAACAAATTAACGAAACACTTGACAGATGAGCGAGAAAAAACGAAGTAAATTGAGATGTATAATTAAGCCAAGGTAAACACACACTCTTAACTGATGCCAAGAACAGTGGGCATTGGGGCATTGAGCATTGGAGCATTGGGGCATAAATACCCAATGAAATTTACCCTTACAGTAAAAAAAAACACCTCTATATAGTGGAAAATCCGTTAATGAGGGTTCGTTATAAAACCTCCATATAACGAACTATATAGAGATGTAAGTCCATCATATCGAGGGTCCGTTATAAAACCTCCATATAACGAACTATATAGAGATGAAAGTCCATTACATCATGGGTCCGTTAAATATAAAACCTCCATATAACGAACTATATAGAGATGAAAGTCCATCATATCGAGGGTCCGTTATAAAACCTCCATATAACGAACTATATAGAGATGAAAGTCCATCATATCGAGGGTCCGTTATAAAACCTCCATATAACGAACTATATAGAGATGAAAGTCAAACCATCGAGGTCGTTATAAAACCCCTATAACGAACTATATGAGATGAAGTCCATTACATCGAGGGTCCGTTATAAAACCTCCATATAACGAACTATATAGAGATGAAAGTCCATCACATCGAGGATCCGTTATAAAACCTCCATATAACGAACTATATAGAGATGATCCATCATATCGAGGGTCCGTTATATCCCTACTACCTCTATATCAACTTACCTTCCCAGCGGAGACACAGTGACCAACCCACATTCGGTGACTCATAGTGTGACGTCA